TTGTTTAAAATACCAATTTTTATAAGGGTTTAATTTCTTACAGTGTAACTTAAAATAATTTAATTTACAAATTATTGTATTGTAGTTGTTTGTTTTAAGGAATTTGTAGGGTTTTTTTGATTGTTTATAACTTAAAGCTAAAAAAAATTTAGTTTAATTATATTAATTATACTCTTAGATTTTGTGTGTGATACTTTTCTGTTTTTTTTGGAGGGGGAGGAAAATTTTTATGTTTGTTTTTTTTAGGGCGGGGTTTTTAACAATTTTTTTTTATTTTAAATTTATTAGCTTTTTGCCAGGTTAATTATACAATTAGCCATTACAAATCTTCTAATCATTATTAATCATGTTAAAGTAAAAACAAATTAGTAAGAGATATTTTTGGTTTTTAAGAGAGAAGTTAAAAAGAAGTTTTAGTAAATTGTTAAATGTTAACAAATAAACAAAAAATAAATATAAAATATTAACTAAATAAAGCCAGGTTAATAATAATGAAGTGTTTGGTGTATAAATGGTTTTTATGAGAAAAGGAAAAAAAATACTTGTTTAAAAAAATGCATTGGATGTAGTTGTGTGTGTATGTGTATGTATGTATGCATGATAGTGTTTAAATGTAGATGTAAATGAGGCTGTGTTTGTGTGTGTGGTGTGTAGTTATGTGTGGTTCTCAAATTTTCTTTTTTATTTTTTTTTTTTTTTGTAAAAAAAAAAGAAAAACAAATTGTTAATAACAAAAATTTTGTTCTCTAATTTTTTTTGTTTTTTTCACCATTAGGGTGATTTTGATTATTTGCAACGGATCTTTTAAAGGGGGGAGAAATTCATATAGGACCAATTATTATAACTGTTTGCCTAATAAATAATATTCACAAAAAAAGTAGTTGTAAAAGTTTGTTCTCTAAGAATTGAGACTAAGAATTTAACCGTCTCTTTTTACGCCGAAATATTTTACATGGTGCACACTCTTGTATTCGTAATTTCTTTTGCTATTTCTGGGAGGAATTCAATTTAAAACCAATTTTATTTATATAAACTCATTGTTTAAAGCGTAACTTAAGTTTGCTGTCATTGCTGGAGCCTGTTTTTTTTTTTGTTATAAAATAATAATGAAGTTTTTTCTTTTTTGATTAAAGAAAAAAAATAATAAATTTTTCAACACTCAGTTTTAAGTAACAAAACAAACTAATTGTTTAACATTTTTTTTGTATACAAATGGCAAGAGTTTAAGCTGTGAGTTAAATTTAAGCCAAGATTAAACTCAGTTTAAGTTTAAGCCAAGATTAAACTCAATTTAAGTTTAAGCCAAGATTAATATTAGTTTAAGTATAAGCTGCAGTTTACCTACATCGATTAAGCTAAACTGAAGTTTAACTTCAAGCTTTTGTTTTGGGAATTAAGTCTAAACTTTGTTTTAAATCCTAAGTTTATCATAGTTAAACTAAGATTAAGCTAAAGTAACCTTTTTCTATTTAAATGAGATATCCTAACATGTTTTATGCAAGTGATAGTTTGATTTATTAAATTGCATGATCGTGGAGATCAATTAACCCTAAACCTAAAAGTGGGTTTGAAAATCACACTCACATTCAATTAATGTCTTCAGTTTAAATCTAATACAACATTGGTTCTTCGAACCAAGATGCAGAATTAAGAAATTCGTGAAATAATTTACTATTATAATAAATAATCGTGCAGATCAATTTACTTTCTTTGAAACGTGAAATTGATGTCCAAAATCATGCAGGCGTCTAATTAAAGGCTTAATTGTAGATCTACTACAATATTGGTCCTTCGAACCAGATGCAGAATGAAGAAATTGCGTTAAATAATTAACTATTGAATTGAATGATCGTGCAGATCAATTTACATTCTTTGAAATCTATTTACTATCTAATTAATGTTCAATTAATGACTTAATTGTAGATCTACTACAACAATGGTCCTTCGAAGCAGATGCTGAATGAAGAAATTGCGTTAAATAATTAACTATTCAAACTATATTTGAAATTACATGGTCGTGAAGATCAATTAACTAAAAGATCGTGTAGTTTACTTTCCTAGAAACCTGTCATTGGCTTGTTTAATTGTAGATCTATTACAACATTGGTCCTTCGAACTACATTTTGCTATTCGTTCTCTTTATTTCTAATTCAAATTGCATGATTGTGAGGATCACTTAATTGGAAGATTATGTCATTTACTTCCCTATAAACCTATAATTGACTTCCATAATTAAATAAATCTTTAATCTTAAACCTAATACAACATTGGTCCTTCGAACCAAATGCAGAATAATTAAATTTATTTAAAAACACTCTGCCATTTTCAAGCTAAATACAAAATGTTTTTTTCAAAAAGTTTGTTTTGTTTCTTGCTTTTTTTATTTATTAATAAATAAATCGTGCGTTAACGCGTTTGTTAAATTATAAAAAAATTAAGACAAAAAGAAAACATTTATTTATTAAAATAAAAAACACAATTAAGTTTGTTTTTTTTATAAAAATTAAATCATAAATGAAAAATAAAACGAAAACATTAGTTTAAAGTTTAAACACACATATACGACGTTTAGTTCAAATTTTTGGTTAAATTAAAAAAGAAATGTTTTATAATTTTTGGTTTTATTTTTTTTAAATATATTAGGGAAATTATAAAAAGAAAACAAAGCACATTTATATTATTATTAATAATTAACTCAATTAAATATGATTTATAAACAAACAAAAAAAATATAAATATATTAAAAGGGGTGGGAGAGGTGAATGAGAATTTTTATTTTTAAACTAAACTATAAAACCAATTTATAAATGGTTTATTTTTAAATATTGAATTGTTGGATATTTTTTTTTTAAATATAAATATGAGACAAATGAATTTTAAATTCAATAAAATGAATAGAAAAATCATAAGAAAAATAATTATTACAAAAAAAATGTGAACGAAAAAAATTAAGTTTAATTAATTAAAAACAACAAAAAAAATTATATTAAGAGTACGAATACAAAAATTAGTACACAAAAAACAATTCACGGAAAATATATATTTATTTTAATGATTTTTATTTTTTTAAATATTTGTTTAAGACAAATGTAAGATTTTACTTCTCACATTAGTTAAGATTTTGTTTTGTTTAAAACGTCGGCAGTTTTTTTTTTTGCGATTTAGTAGATATATATATATTTGTACTTGATAAGGGAACCGTTTTAACTAACATTTTATTATTGAGTGTAATTTATAATTTAATACGAACGCCTCAACTTTCTTTTTTGCTTTTAATAGTTTTTTTATTGTTTGTTAAAGAACAAAGTTATTTATATGTTAAAAAAATAAATATTTAAAAAAAAATTATTTTTTTTTATATTTATAAATTTGAATGTATATAAAACACCATGAAAATTGAAGTGTTAGTGTTTGTTTATTTGTGGGTTTTTTTTTCTATTAAAATAAAACGGGGAAAAAAAAACTTTGTAAAAAGGAAAAGGATTAAAATGTTTATTTGAACAGCAGCAACAACAATAAAAACATACTTTTGTATTGTAGGAAAACTAACAACATAAAGGCTTTACAGCCATTGAGTAAGTTAATGAGGAAACATGGCTTTTTTTTAAGGGAAAGGGGGAGGAAAGTTGTGAAAATATTGGGGGTTTTGTTAACCACCATTTAACCTCTCAGGTTTTTACAATAAAAAATGTTTTACACACATGCTTTAAGGCTTTCAGTGAAAATGTTTTTGTTTTAAACAAAAACAAAACAAAATTTCAAACTGATTTTTAAATGATAACGGTATTTAATAACAAAACAGGAAGTTAAAGACAAGAGACGGAAGTGAAGTCGTTGTGTTTATTAGTGATGAAATTGTTGTGGTTTTCACACACACATACTTGACAGTTACATCATGTATAATTTAGCAACTAATAACACAGAAATAATTAAAAATTTTCCACTTTTAAAAACCAAAAGAAAGAGAATATGTTCTATAACAAAAATAGAAAGTGTGGCTGTTGCTTTGAAGAAGCATCAGGAAAATGTATATGTGCCACAGAGTGTGTGTATGTGTTTATGTTAATTACTTCAAAAAACCAACTAAACAAAAACTTTGTTTTTTAATTTGTTGTAAAATTTTAATATGATTAAAACGCTATTAGCAACAGGTTGTTATATGATGATAGAAAATACAATAGATAACCTAACGGAAATAAAACTTTTGTAATAATCTCTTAATATATTATGAGGTTTGTGCATGTGTGTTTAAGTTGATTAAAAAATGTTTACAAGAGTAATTACCTTTATGTCATAATGACAACACTTCAATTTTCATGTAAGTATTTTGATATTTATGTTAAATATACAAACGTTTATTATATTTTATTTTATATAAAAAAAAGCATTAAAAAGTGACGGAAATAAATGATGAATTTTATTTACCATTTGAAACAATCAAACAAGAAAGAAATTTATATTCATGGTTCTGTTTTATTTTCTCTTTGTTAAAACTAAAGCCAAATTATTTAAATACTTTTGGTTTTTCTTTTAGAAAAGCAAAAAAAAGGGTTAATATTTTAAAACAGCAATATTTTTTATATTAAACCTCTTTTTAAAATTTCTGTTATCTACTTGAGTTTGAAAATTTTGTTTAAAATATTTTTTTTTTTTTTTTTTGAATTTTTTTCATTATTATGTGAATGCGTAGAAGTAAATGAAATTTGTTTAAAAAATTTTTTTTATAACTCGATTTTTTTTATAAAAAAAATATTATTATTATTTTTTCTTTTCATTCTAATTTTTAAAAGAAAAAAATAATAAAATAAATAAACCAAAAGTTAAATAAAGAATATCAATGTATACTAATTTAATTGATAAAAAAAAAATTATATAAATATTAATAAATAATTTGAAAAAAAAAAATTATTTGGAAAAAAAAATTAAGAAAATTTTGTACGCATTGATGTAAAAAAATGTCAATGAATTCTAAGCAATAGTAAAAAGGAGAAAGCACTCACCTTGGGGAGAGGCAGCTAATTCGGCAGCACTTTGTAATTGAGGATTCAAATCTGTAAGGGAAAAAGAAAATATAAAAAAAAAGTTTTAGAAGAAGTTTAAGGAAAATTGTCGTTAAATTAGCTAAGAAATCTAATCCAATTGTTTTAATCAGTAAATAATTTGTTGATCTAATAGCTAAACTGCAATTAATTAAGCTTTACAAATAATTGATCCCCTACTTCTTCAGTAATAGGTTCAACTGTAGTATCAACTAACAGTTTTTTTTCGAAATTGTTTATCTGAAGTTCTAAATCAACATCAGGTAGAATTTCTTAAATCTTCAGTAATGGGTTTTACTGTTTACTTGAAGTTCTGAAACGGAATACTTAGTCTTAAGCTAAAGATCTACATAGATGGGTCCTTCGGCTAATTGATCCCCTACTTTTTCAGTAATTGGTTCAATTATGGTATCACTACCGTAAACTTTGTCTTTAACAGTTGTTTTCCTAAAGTTCAAAATCAAAATTCTTTGTCTGTAGTTTGATATCAACAACAACAATTGGTCTTTGGGCTGGTCGAATAATTGGACCTTACTTTTGCAGTAATGAATACAACTGTAGTATCAACTATAGTAAACTTTGTCCTAAACAGTTGTTTTCCTGAAGTTCAGAAACAAAATTCTTTGTCTGATGTTCTATATCAACATTAGTTGGTCTTTCGACTGGTAGAATAATTGGTCCTGTTAACATTAACATCTATAAAAGTTGTTTTCCTGAAGTTCAGAATCAAAATTCTTTATTTAAAGTCCTATAGCAAAAATAATTGGTCTTTCGGTTAATTCAATAATTGGTCCTTACTTTGATCCCCTAACCCTTCAGTATTAGGTACTTGATACTAAACTACCGAACCCTTTGTCTTTAACAGCTGTTTTCAGAAACAAACTTCTTCTTCTGAAGTTCTACATCAACAACAACAATTGGTCTTTCGGCTGGTAGAATAATTGGTCCTTACTTTGATCTTTAACAGTTCTTTTCAGAAACAAACTTCTTTGTCTGAAGTTCTACATCACAACAACAATTGGTCTTTCGGCTGATAGAACAATTGGTCCTTACTTCTTTAGTAAAAGTTTCAACTGTAGTATCAACTACCGTTAACTTTGTCTATAACAGTAGTTTTCCTGAAGTTCAAAAACAAAATTCTTTACTCGATGTTCTATATCAACAAAAATAGGTCTTTCGGCTGGTAAAATAAGTGGTCCATACTTCTTTAGTAATTTGTTTAACTGTAGTATCTACTTCTGTTAACTTTATCTATAAAAGTTGTTTTCCTGAAGTTCAGAATCAAAATTCTTTATTTAAAGTTCTATATCAAAAATAATTGGTCCTTCGGTTAATACAATAATTGGTCCTTACTTTCTGCAGAAGTATTAACTATAAAGCAAATTCAAAAATATACTCACTGGCAAATGCTGCTGGATCTATGTTGCTCATTGAAAACGGTGGAAACGGGGTCGATGGAAATAACTTTTCACCTGGTGAAAATGGAAATGGAGCCGATGCTGGATGTGGTGGCATGGTATTTTCAATTTCTTCATCGTTTCCCGAACTGCAACGAAAAACAAAATGCAATAAGTTAATGAAACATTAAGTTTAAAGTTTAACCCCAATTAAGAAAGAAAACTTACCTCAAAGAACCTTTACCACAATCAGCACTCTGGGCACGATGTACCTCATGTTCAGCAGTCGAATCATTGCTATGTTCGTTATCATTATTAATGGGGCAAACTAATTCCATGGGTTCCGATTTAACATCGTCCGCCGAGCGTGTCAAAGGTGAAGGTGTTAGACTGCCTAATTTTTCACTTGAAGAGATTCCATTGCCATTGGTATTTGTATTTGAGCCATTGCCATTATTGCCGCTAACACTAAGCGAGGAACCATTACCTATATTATAATAATAAAGAAATCATGAAAAATATTTCTTAGGACAAAACAATTGCGCTAAGGACACTTACGTTTCTCATCTTTTGGTGGTGGTGAATTATTATTATTATGTTTCATGGTGGAAAAATCTGTGGGTGTTAATTGTGGTGAAGTACTGCGTGGATGTGGTATATCGGGACTATTAGTATTACTGGGTGGCAAACCATTATCCGAGCTACGTATACGTTTTAAAACATTATTGGGATCCTCAGCCGATGATGTTGATGTATTATGCTGTTCACGTCTGATCATGGCAATGTTACGTTTATACAACGGTAACTGGGTGGGTGGAAATGGTGGTGGCGGTGGTGAGCCAACAATATTACGCGGATACATAGGTGATTCATCCTGCATAGAGGTGTGGTGTGTATTTATAGGTGTGCGTATACCACTATTGGCGAGATTTTGTATTTGAAGTAATTGCTAATGGAAATTAAATTGTAATATTAATTTATAAGTTTATTTTTGTTTTTTAATTGTTAAATATTTTGTAAAATTTTGTTTTTTTTTTTTTTTTTTTGGGGGGAGGGGGGGGGGGAAATTAACTTACACTATTAGTTTCTTCTGCTTGTTGTTGTGTGAGGCCGGAAACTCTTAAAACTTCAGCGGTTTTAAGAAATGATTGTAAGGATTTTTGATGGACATTTACCTCACCATGATATATAAACTCAACCAATGAATGTAAATCATGAAAATTTACATCCTGTAATAAAATCACTGGGTGTTTACAGGGTGTACTCTGGAATAGAGATAAAGAAAAGAAAGGAAAATTATTAAAAATTTTATTTAAATTTTTTTTTTTTGTAAAGTTCTTAAAGTATTTTAAGGTTTTCCTATGTTTGTATTGTTTCCCTTAGTTTTATTCTTGAAAATAGAAATATTTTTATATTTATATATAAGTGATGATTTCATTTTGTTATGCACTGTTTTTTTTTTTTTTTGTACATATAGTTTGGTATCTGTATCTAAATATAGTTTATAACACTCATACTTCTTTTTCAGCATTCCAGTTTTCTACGCATTTAAGTGAATATGTATTGAGTATATAAGTTTGTATAACTTGCATGCAGACTGCATGTGATCGTTCATCTAGAAATTAGGTCATGCATCAGATGATAAAACATGAGATATTTTTTGCGGCTGTTTTGTCTGGCTGTCTGTCTGTCCATCCATCCGTCCGTCCCTCCAATGCCTTTATTGTCGTTGAAGACATTGTCGTAGGGTATTATTACAATTTTACACCATTGTAAAGATATGTATGTATTGGTGAGATATTTAAAAACAATGTTGATGATTGTTTTGTTTATTCCAGAGTAGTGGTGGTAACGAATTTCTGTGCCACAGGATGATCATGATTTTGCAAAAAATATGTATTTTTTCTGCTGTTTAGCAAATTTGTTGCAGTTTTTTTTTCTTTCTTGCTTCTTTAGTTGCTATTTTTGTAAAATTTATTTTACTGTGTGTGCTTTATTTTTTGGTTGCTGTTCAAATTGAGGTCAACAGATCGAAAATCTTGTTTAGGTCTCATTCATATTTACAAACACACACAGTTACAAAGTTTATAAGAAAAAAAAAATCAAGTACATTGAAAGAAATGTGTGTGCAATAAATATGCTTGGTTCATATAAATAAACAGCAACAAAGTTATTGCATTATTTTTTTTATAAACAAATTTATTTTGTTACAAACTTAAGTATATAGGGTGAGCTATATACTTACATACATACACACATATGTATGTATAGATCTGTTATGGCTAAAGTCTTTCAGTTTCTGTTGCTGGCAAATTTATTTGTTTATTAAATACATTATAATGAATGTATTTATTGAAGCTGCTAATTTACTGCATTGACTTTGTAATTTTTTGTATAACTGCTGCTGCTGCTGCTGCTGCAACGTTGTCCGTATAACACAATTTAGCAAAGCACCAACACAGCAGCAGCAATTATATCAACAACAACACCCAGCTTATTAAACAGAAATTAACAAGCAGCAAGAAAGTGGGCCATACCATTCAGTCCAGTCAGTATGTCTGTCTGTCAGTCAGTCCATGCCATAATATGTAGTTTACAAGTACTTACATTAGTATTATATACCTATACATACAATGTTTGTATTCATTTAACTCTGGCACCTCTTATTGAGCTCATTTTTGTGAGAAACGCCATTTTTTTTTTCAATTGGCAAAAGTATGTATTATTCGTTTTAATTTCAGTTGTATTTCGTTTTTTTTTGTTTGTTTTCTGTTAAAGCATTTTTGCTTAAAATGCAACTACACTTTCTAGAGGCTGCTATTTTTTCCACACCAAAAAAAAAACTGCATAAAAAGCTTTAACTGTTTCAATAAGAAATGAAAACAACAGCAAATTATCAACTCCCATAACAAATACACACAAAAAAAGTAAAACAACAAAGCTTAACAGCTGCAACATTTTGTTGTTTTACAGTTACACTGTTTTTTTTTAACCGTTAAACTTTTTAAGAGACAATTAGCATTACAAGTGGTTCATTTGCCAAAAACTAAAAAAAGATGACCGTTATCGTTTCCACTGCTTTTACTAGGTACTATCAGTAGATAGTTTTTGTTTTTGCTCTCATTTTATTAAGTGTTTGTCTTTTTTTGTACATTTTATGTTAAATAACAGGGTTGCTTTTTTTGCTTATACTTTTGTAGTTGTTGCTGTTTGCAGTTAAACCCCTAATTAAAATAATATTTCTATCTGCAGTTAATTAAATATTAATGACTTTAGAGTCTATCTCTAAAACAACAGAATTTTTGTATTTTCTAGATTTTCAGCACTTAATAAAATGGCAAGAAAAAAGGGCTGAACAGTGACTGGCAAAAGTTAAGTGACAGTGATTTTCCTTAGAAATCTAGGGTATAGACACTTAAGTAAAAACTTTAAACTTTATACCATGAGCTATTTGCTTTTATGTCATGCAGCCAGGTATGTTTGTGGGAAATTAGGACATCAAAAGCTTTTAAAAGCTATAACAGAAACATAAAGCTTATCGCAAAATCTTAGGGCAATAACTCGAAATTTCTTAAATTTTAAAGGAGTCCAAAATCAAACACAAACTTTGAAGCAGTTTGAAGTTTCTAACGCTTAATTGGAAAAGTTATAAATCAAAAGCTTTGAGGGAGAACAAAAGGAAATCATAAAGTTTAAAGCTGGTAAGGTATCTAAAACTTATTTATTATACGATTTAAAGAAAATCAAAAGCTTTAAGGATGAACAAAGTAAATCTTAAGTTTTGATAGAATCCAAAATTAATCATAAAGTTTGAAACAGTTTGATGTTTCTAAAACTTTTTTCTATAAGTTGTAAAGCAAATCAAAAGCTTTGAGAAAGAACAAAGTGAATTACAACGTTTAAAGCTATTTGAAATTTTTAAAACTTATTGGGAAAAGCTTTAAAGAAAATCAAAAGCTTTGAGAAAGAATACTTTAAATCTTAAGCTTTTAAGGTGTCCTAAATGAATCATAAATTTTGAAGCAGTTTGAAGTTTTTAAAACTTGATTGAAAAAGGTTTACATAAAATCAAAAGCTTTGAGGGAGAACAAAGTGAATCATAAAGTTTTAAGCTCTTGAAGTTTCTAAAACTTGTTTGAAAACCGTTTAAAGCAAATCAAAAGCTTTAAGAAAGAACAAAGTAAATCTTAAGGTTTGATAGAATCTTAAATGAATTATAAAGTTTGAAGCAGTTTGAATGAAGATTATACAATTTCATTAAAACAGTTTATACGCTTTAAACTTTTTCAATAAAAAGCTTTAAAGGAGAATAAAGTGAACAATAAGGTTTTAAGCTGTAGAAGTTTCTAAAACTTGTTTGAAAATCAAAGCTTTGAGGGAGAACCATGTTTGAAACAGGTGAAATCGTTTGAAGGTGACAAAAAAAGACCATGAAATTTTAAACACTGTATGCAGAGAGATTTGGTACACGCCTGGTACTAAATTGACACCAAAGAGTTTATAATTTTTAAATAACATCCGTTGTCAAAGTATATACATACGTACGACAACACTATGTAATGTTGACAATGCAACGTTGTCAACATTTCAACAATTCGTTGTCGAAATCTAAATTTTATACACATCCGTTGTCTAAATGTTAACAAACGTGTTAAGCTCACTATTGGTAACGGATTGTTTGTCAATAGTGAGCTTACCACGTTTGTTAACATTACATAGTGTTGTCGTACGTATATATACTTTGACAACAGATGGTATTGCAAAATTATAAACAGTTTGGTGTCAATTTGGTACCAGGCGTGTATATTTCTTTTTCCCTCTGTGTACAGTTCCTAAAGTTTGAAAGGTAAGATGGATAAGAATCTGAGTCATAAAGTTTGAAGTACCGCAAACTATTACGATATGTTCGAAAAAAGTTTGAAGTAGGCAACTTTTTGCTGGAGTTCGAATAAACTTATATTAAAGCCGGTGTCAACCTTAATTACATAGGGATTCCATATTACAAAGGAAGCAATAGTATGAAACCCTTAAAATTAGGATGAAATGCTTGGAACCATTTTAAAGGTAAAACGTCTGTCATTTGAATCAAAATAATCTCCAGTTATAAAGTAATTGACAGATCTTATAGCAGCGAAACCAAACTTTTCTATATTTATAGTGGAATTAATGATCTAACTTTCTCTAATTCTCTACAAGTCATACAATCTGGTCTAGGAATATTATTTTCTGCCAGAGTTTGATCTTTTATATACAGAGCAATTTAGTAAATGTTTCCTAAAACCCACTGTAAAGCTGGCAGCAGAGCGTTACCTTTATAAAACTTATTAGTGTCGCATAAGTACATACTAATTGTTTTGCTAAAAGTCGTAGCACTTTAAAACTTATTTTAATTTCAACAAAATGTTTCTTTGACTAAACAACAGCATCAGCAAGCAGTAGCCAACAGTCATCCTTCACAATGAACAATGCATGGTACTTGCTGTTTGCTTAATGTGTTCCCCCCCCCCCCTACAGTTTGTAATTCATTTATTGTAAATTTGTAAGCCTATTCAGAACAAAACAACTACTAGTATATCTTTTACACTAACACTTACAACAACAAAAACAAGAAATTAAAGGAAAAAATCTACAGAAAAGAGACTATATTATAATAGTTGTACAATTTTTCTTTTTTGCATATTGTGCCAACAAAGTTTTGTGCCATTTTAATTTGTAGCGAGAAGCTTTTTTTCTGCTACTTTCATTTTACAAAGCATTTGCTTATTTTTTTTTTTTTTTTTTTTTTGTTATAAATTTGTTCTTTTTTTTATTTGGTGTTGTTGTTTTGATAATGTAATTTAAATTATATATTTTATTATTATTTCTTTTTTGCTTGACCATGTTTTTTATTTATATTTTTTTGTTCAAGTCTTTGCTGTAGTTGAATTCAGTTTAGTTGCATTTGTTAAAGTTTTTTTTTCTGCTGTGTGTCTTTCAATAATTTATTTCGTTTTTTTTTTTTTTGTTCAATTGTGTGTTATGTTGTTGTTATTATTGTTTGTTGTTTTTTGCTATTTAGCAAATTAAATGTTGTATTCTTTTTTTTGCATTTTGTGTTGGATTTTGTATTTCTAGTTTTTTTTTTAAAGAAGTTTTTTTTTGTTGCGCGATATTTTATGCACTTCAAAGTATGCAAAATGTCGTGACATTACTAAGTATAATGTTTTTTAAGCAATTTTTTTTTAGTTTTTTGCTATTTCTTCAAAGTTGTTATTGTCTTTGTTGT